TGTGTGCAGAGTGAAATATTTGAATGCTGTGTTGCTGTGCTCTTTGTGCCACAAAGGAACCAATTCTTACCCCTGGCTTCTCTCCTCTGTGGCAGATATTAATGAGTGCCAGTCCTCTCCATGTGCCTTGGGCTCCACCTGCGTGGATGAGATCAATGGATATCGCTGCCTATGCCCACCAGACAGGACTGGATCCCACTGCCAAGAAGGTAGCAGCCTCCACACGATGGGGAAAACAACCCCCAACAAATATGAAAATGAAGGGGAAAAAAATAATAATTGAAAATATTTCTAACAATGTGACTGCTTTTACACAGTTACAAGAAAACCTTGCTCCGTTAATGGACACGTCACCCCTGATGGAGTGAAATGGGATGAAGACTGCAACACTTGCCACTGTTCCAATGGGAAAGTTGTGTGCACAAAGGTAAAGTATTTATGAATGCTCGACACACCTGTGAAGTCTATGTCATGCTTCCGAATGGAAGAAGTGCTGCGGAGAACTGCACAAAATGGATCGCATTGATGTTTGGTGCCTTGTTTTCCATGAGAAGGTGTAGGCAGGGCCACGACATTATGTGTCACTGGGTGGAGTTGGCTCGGGAGTGCCAATTTCGTGATGCAGTTAGTTGATTAGAACACGAACACACACACACCGGTTCCCACTAAGGGACGATTGGGTGAGTTAGACAGTAGTGCTGTCATCGTCATGGCTGTCTAACCGCTAGATGAACATTGCTGGCTTACTAGTGGAGCTCACCTCGGCAAGAAAATGCATCGTAGGATTGAAAAAGATCTGGGAGATGGATTTAAAACTTGGCCTGACATCACAGTATTGTTTGTTTGTGATACATAACGATCTCTGACATGCAGTGGAGACAAATCAATCTTTGGACAGCTGTTACCACTGGTCCAGTTTTTTGTTTTTAGACATTCGTACAGTGTGACTCATCCTCTGGAGACCCAGAGTAGTAAATGAAATACAAATCTCTCCACAGTTATGCAGATGTATCTGGGGATATGGCAGTGACAGTTTGAAAGTGTTTTCTACTGTATAGCGTACTCAGTGTAATATAAATGTATCAATGCTCCTGTGTTTTTCCTCTCCAGATGTGGTGTGGCCCGATGTCATGCAAACTGGGTGCCAAGGGCCGAGGCGAGTGCCCGTCAGGCCAGAGCTGCATCCCCCTCAGGGAGGGCCACTGCTTTGTGAAGCCCTGCATTGAGCTGGGAGAGTGCTGGCACTCCGACCCTCCCCAGCCCCCCACCAAATGCCACCCCAGCTCCACTTACCAGGACAACAGCTGCGCCAACATCACCTTCACCTTCAACAAGGAGATCATGCCTCGAGTGAGTTACCTAGGCACCAGGGAGGAAGAGATTGAATTTAACAGGTTTTGGGCTCGTTTTCCATCCCTCCCCTCCACCAGCAGTCTTAAATGAATGGGAGCAGCAAACTGTGAAAGATTACCCATTCCTCCAGGGCAGAAAGACTCCTTAACAATTCAGCCATGTATTTAAATGTGCTCCATGAAGGAGTGGGGGGAATATTTCTCTCGGAGCCTTGTCTGCATACAAGTTTTGTTCCTGAGACTGAGGCATTCATGACTTTTTAGCTTCTGCCAATCCCAATCTTAAACCAACCACATGGGGAGATTAATTTCAGGATGATATGGATTTTGAGCTGAACAGGACCACTGGCGACTCTGTCACCACATAGAATGATCACTTGCCAGTTGCCTAACAAGCATGACAGCAGATAGTGACAAGCATATGAGTTTGCGGTCTTTAATCTAAATTAGGTGGATAGGATGTTGGAACATGCTGCCAAAATGCAGCCTTGGCTCTTTTTTTTTTTTTCTTCTTCTTCTTGATTGCCCTTTTTTCCTCCCTTTTTTTTTTTCCCTGTGTTTGTTAACATTTGCTTCATTCCCTTCAGGTCCAGGGCTTGACTGTGGAAGGAGTATGTAAGCAGCTGAGGAGCTTATACGTGGTCAAGAATTTCTCCTTGGAGCATTCTGTGTCCATAACCTGTGACCCCTCATTCTCAGCCAGCAACGAGATCCACGTCTGCATCGTGAGTACTTCCTTCCACTCACTCTGCCATGTTTGACTGCTTCCATTAAAGCACACACACAAAAAAATGCTTTTGATTCATAACCTGCATCGTAGAGTTCTTGCAGCTGCGGTAGGATGTGTTATGGACGTAGGGTTGAGTTTCTGTGGCTTCAGTTTACAACAACTAAACACTTAAATTTCACACCTCGCTTTATTCTTTGCCTTTAGTCGACTGACGACCACCGCTTGGACGGGAGCCCCGTTAAAAAGATCACAGAAAGGATAATTGACCTGGTTAGCAAGCATAACGGGAACAACACGATCATCTCCGCCATCGCAGAAGTGCGTGTGCCAAGCCCCAGCAAAACTGGTATGAACTGAAACTATTTGTTTGATTATGAAGTTTTCCACACTTGCACACACCTGCATGTGCTGAAATGGGTGGGAGGATTTTTTTCAATTTTTTTTCTCTCTAAAGATCAGATCATGAGATAGAGCCAAGCCCTAAAAGTGACAACATAGCTGCACACCAAAGAAAAAACATTCCATGTATATGTAAACTGATTCCTTAACCTCCCACACGACTCATGGCAGTTGTGATGGAGCTTAAAAAGAATCTAGCCAGGATCTTCAATGGAAAGAGCAGAGCTGCTTGGCTACATGGCTTTAGATTGGCTCGCGGTACAACTGGCTGGACTTTTAGTCAGACTCCCACTTGTGTTCACCATTCATCAGTACGGTGACAGCAGACTGCTGATACAGCCAAGTAGAAGCAGCCTCCTCTTCAGCTCCAGGCTTGGAGGTCAGGTTGTTCTGGCAAAAGCGCATTAATGACTGAGCTAGCTTGATGCATTAATACAGAAATCCTACTATTCACCGTTTGAGTCAATTCTTTTTTATTTGTGGTCTCTTTCTGACTTGTCATTGTTTTCTTCTACCAGATTACCTAGTGCCCCTTCTCAGCTCCATTTTCATTGTCATCTGGGTCCTCGTGCTGGTCTCCATTTTGCTGTGGTGCATGCGCCGGCGGCGGAAACAGAGCAACCACAACGGGACATCAGCGACCAGCTCAGAGGACAACACGACCAACAACGTGCGGGAGCAGCTTAACCAGATCAAGAACCCTATAGAGAAGCATGTGGGCCTCACAGTGGCCATTAAAGACTATGAAAATAAGAACTCCATCATTGCCAAAATAAGGACAAATCATCCCGAGGGAGATGAGGACGACAAGGAGAGGCACTTGCAGAAGGGCCGCTTTGCCAAACAGCCAGCATACACACTGGTGGAGAGGGACGAGAAGGCGACCATCTCCAATCCCAACTCGACATCCAAGCACGCTAATTGGACTAACAAACAGGACAATAGAGACTTGGAGACAGCAAACAGCATAAACAGGATGGACTACATTGTATAGCAGACAGCTGTGTTGCTGTGCAACCTAGCCTTACGCCTTCACACCCAGGTGGTGGGTGAAACTGGGGGAGCTTTGGCATGTGTAAATAGTCATGTCAGTTGTGACCCCCCCTCCTCCCCCTCAGTATTTTCAGATATTTCCCCGTGCTAATTTAAGTTTTGACAAGCTGGCTTACACTGGCAGTGACAGTTGCTTTGGTTGGCTGGAAACACAAAGCACTGGTATACATTTCACTGTAGAACTAGTTGCAAACGTGTCCTCCTATGCATTTCATTTCCCCGTTTCCTTTTCTTTCTTTTTTTAGCGGACACATTTAAGGGGCTCCTGGTGTAATTGTTGTACAATGAGTTTAAACTACCCGACGTGTTCAACACTAGAGCTAATTATTTTTAGTATGTGTTTGAATTTTTTCTAGTTCTATTTGGAGAAAGTGCTTTTTCAGCTTTAGACTTCAGCAACTGTCAAATGAGACAAAAAAAAAAAAAGATCAACTTTATTATTTATTTTTATTTTTAGGGTTGGGTGGGGAGGGAGATGAAAGGGGTTCGATGTCAGCAGTTGCTGTCAATATGAAGAATTTATGTGACAATTTAGAACGTGTAGATATGTACATTTTTTTTTTTATTAATCATTGTGTATATTTGATTTATTAACTTAATAATCAAGAGCCTTAAGATATCATTCCTTTTTATTTATACGTTCCAGTTTAGTTTGAAGCTTTTGATAGCTGTGGAAGCCTACCATTTCTTTCAAGGTTTTTTTTGTTTTGCTTTGTTTCCAATGCATTCAATAAAAGCCAAATTTCAGAGAAGACAAAAGATGGGTGCTTTGGCCCTGAAAGAAACACTTCATTTTTGTTTCCCTCCCATACACACGTTGGACATTTCATTATTTGTTGCCAGGACCTTAATTGTAGACAAGTGAGGTTAGGACAACAAAAGATCACGGCTGCTGCAAGGGTTGGACATGGTGGCAGACACATTGCTTGCCACTAATGGATAAATACTTAAGGGAACAAAAATTCTTCAGCAGCTTCAGTTGAACCCAGACGTATTTCAAAGGCTGTCGAAATCAACCAAGTTGCGAGGCAAGTCACATCAGTATGACACGCCAGAATTCCCATCTGCTTTAGTCAGCATAATATCATAAGCTAGACTGTGAGTACTTGAACAGTAGGGGAGCAATGGGAACACTGTAGTATCAGATAAATACACTGCCTTGCTCTGCAAGAGTCCGCTTTGTTTCTGTGCACATTTTGTTTCTTTTTAAAAATTGAGGCTCTTAAAGACAAACATGTTTTATCTCATTTGTTAACCCTTTGAGATCGTGGCAACACTTTGTCCCTTTTCTTTTTTTTGACTTTGTGTTATGAACTTGAGAATTCTGTGTTGATCTGGCAATATATTTTTGAAAGTCATATTTATTAAATATTTTGTATGAAACGAGAATTAAAGTTGTCTCTGTTCTGGAGAGAGAGTGACGAGTCTGATGCATTGAGCCAAACGTGTTGGAGCATATTAAAGATCTCTCGTGGCGTGGGAACTACAGCTAATGGTTTCCTAGTCGAGTCCTGGAGACGCAGTACTCATAACGCTCAGATATTGTAGCCCTTTATGGTCTGGTTAAGATACTGTAGCAAGTTTAAAAAACAAAAAAAAAACAAAGTTGGGCTGGAGAAGCCTAAGCTGTGGAGTAAAAGTGATTTATTATGTTCTTTATTTTTTTGGGCAAACTCTTCTTGCCAGAATTAAAACAAAGACGAGAGATTACAACACCCCTTGAGAAAGATCCTCAACATGTTGGGACTAATAGCTGATAGCTGAACTGGCTCCTAGTGGTGACACTCAGGTTGTAACCACTAATACTTTTTTTCCATTTTTTGGACAGACCCCACTGTCGAACTGCCACAAGCAGCATTTGGTTTGGACTCTGTGAGAGGAAAACAATGCAATGAGATCTGTGCCGGCTGCTTTCCCAAAATTCTCTGTGAATTTTACACAATTATTCAAATGGGGCTTTTTTTTTTGTTTTGTTTTGACTGAGGGGAAAATTTATTTATATCGAAATGTCTTTCCAGTAAAATAAAACAGGAGTAAAATTTTCAGTCAACATTTTGTTGTGAAATAGAAATACTGGGTTGTAAATGGAGCTTTACGGCTGGTGACAGCAGCTGTTGTTCAACCTCTGATTTGAAAACTGATCACGTTCCTGCATTTAGTTGGTTTAGGTTAAAAAAAAAAAAAGCAGCACAGTATGTTTCCACTTATAGATTTGTTTTCAGGTGCTTAGCAACTAACTGGTATATGAAAAATATCTAGCTACAAAAACACTTTTTTTGAGAATGGGGTGATGAAATAAACCTGGAAACAGCAATCAATCATGCTCGAGCTTCGGCGGGTAAACTGGACAGTTTTGAGACACGTAGGAGCCAGTATTTGAGTCTGAAAGCCATGACGTACTGCATGGCTCCTGCCTGTCTGAAATCCCCAATCTTTAACACAAAACCAAATCTTAACTCCAATTAAAGGTTTTTGACTTTCATTTGCGAGCTGTTCTTGACCACCACTACTTATGGGTGGAGGCAGAGATCCGTTTCAAGTATTTGACAAAGCATAACTCAAATGCACATGTATCAGTTGCCATAATGTGTTCAGCATTTGATCTGTGCGTGTGCAGCATATGTGAAAAGAACAGATATCGCAGTAAAAAGTGACACAAGCACAAATGCAAGTCATCTGAGCAGACCACATGGACAGTATGGGGGAAGCATGTAGTCTGACAGAGTCTCATCTCTATTTCTGTGGCGTCAGGCATCTTTACTGTAGCCTGTCTCTCTCTCCCCCTCAGGACCTCTTCAGTCGTCGTAATCTAGAGGTTCTGGGCACATTTTCACTCCACTCCTCTCTGAGTGTGGATCTGGAACCAATAGAGGAGCCTGAGGATGCAGGCTTGACAGATAGGCTCCTCAGACTTGCGGCCAGCCTGTTTTGGTTTGTCTGTGCCGTGTTATTGCTTGTGAGGGAGAGCCTTTGGGCTTGTTTCCCTGGAGTAAGCAGCTCTACTTCCAGTGTGGTTTTCTTGCACTCTGAGACAGGGGAAGCCTGGGACTCTGCCTTGGCTTCAAGTGGAGGGAGGGGTGGCAGAGGAAGGAGGTCGTGCTTGGATGTTTGTGCAGAGTAAGTTTGCATTAGGGCTGGAGGTCTTCCAAGGCACGTCCTCTTGGCCCCGTGTGGGTGAGGGTCTTCCCCAGCATCACTCAGCTTGCACCTCTTGCTCGTGCTGGTCTCCTGACTGATTTCATTTTGGCAGAAACCTGCTGAGGTCCCATTTAGGTTGATACAGTCTGGAAGATCGTTCTCAGCATGCCGCTCCTGCTTTTGAGTAGTCCCAATTAGAGCTCCTGCTACAGTTAATGCACTGGAGCAAGGCACCTTGTGGTTTGCCTCTGACAGGACCTTCTGTTCAGATCTGGACAGACTCACTGAGCCTGATTCTGACTTGACAACTTGAAGTTCCGGTTTCTGGTTTTCAGCACAGACTCTCTGGTCAATCTGCTGCTCTGCCATAGTGGAACCACAAAGGTCTTGCTGGACACTGGCTTGTTTGGCTCTGAGAAAGAAAAAAAAATGGGTATAAAGGATATAAACAGATACTTGAGTGTCCTCTCTGACTGGTGGGGTTGGAAAGTTCTGCATTAGATCATACTTACATCTTTTGAAGCACAGTCTTCTTTGTTTTTGTGGGGCTGTTTAAAGGCTCTTGGGTTTCTCCCACACTGGAAAAATATTCCGATCTGCTTTGTTCGCACAGCTCAGTCTAAAGAGGACAAACAGAATCAGTGTAAACACAAATATTATTACTGGCATACCCTGGAAACATTTCGCCTCACAGTGCTGTCATCATCCTTCATTGAACACCTTCATTAAATCCATTAGACTAAAAACTAAAAGAGTTCATGTCAGATTGTCTGAAGTTCAATCAATGTAGTCACCTTATTATTTAAACTATGATGCTGCCCAACATGAAAGATGAAAGGGCCTTCAGAGAGCGTAGCCGCTGCCCCCCGCACCCACCGTAAACTCCCCAAATCCTCCACCTCAAAGTTTGAAATGAATCACTGGCTCATTATGGCATGACAATTGTTCAGCCTACACTACCTGAGGTTTAAAATAATGCTCTCAGCCTTAGGCAGAGTTACGAAACGGTGACCATATTGACAAGTTAAAACAGCGAATAACGAAGATTCAGTAATAGGGAAAAAATGTGACGCAAGGGAAGCATTGCGTGGGAAAGAAATTTTTTTTTAAAAAAGGTGTAAAAAGCATGTTATGGGACAGCTGCAAATGTAAACAGACTGAAGGGGAAAAAAACCTTCTTTACTTTTAGCCATGAAACTGTAACTGAACAAAGCAGGATGAGTGCCGAGCGCTTCTTCTATGTCCTTATGTGTCTAAAACTTTCATCTGTAATTCTGCTACACCCCTAAGTGTCTCTGAAAAGCAAGTCTTATTTGCTAAAACTCTGGGGTGAAAGTTCAAAATATCCACATACTAAGGGAAACCTCTGAGGCAGAACGAGGAACAAGCTGAAAATTGGATCTCACCAACGTGTGCCCTCAACAGGCCACTAATGACGATTAATCATGGGGTCTTTTCCTTGGCTGCCCCAGAACAGACTCTGGATTTATGAGAACAAGAGACGCTGGTGGCAAATTGAGCAGAACTTCAAAGGCTGAAGCACTGTCAATTCATCATAAATTAATCAAATCAAAAAAAGTTGGTGGAATAGTAGACTAGCAATGGTTTAGAAAATGAGCATGTCTGCTAGTTTTTATCTGGAGAAGCAGTATATTATATTATATTTTGTATACTAGAACTTCTAAAAGTCTGAAGCTGTACAAAGGCATTTATATCAGCTCATGGTCTAGAATGGGGATATTGCCAGAACTGATACTTACAAGTAATTTTTGTATAAAACTGAAAAAGCTACTTTTTTTTTCAGTACAGTAGTTACCTAAGCGGCATACCAACCAAGTTGGGTTATAAACGAAATTGATACTTAGATACTGATACTAAAAATTACTTTTGGATTAGACGTCCATTTGCAACTGCATTATATGTGACTGGAATGAACTCTGAACTCATTGTCACTCGTCCAACAGGAATGACTGATATCACAGGCGGTCAGACTGTGGGACTTGACAGAAGCAAACAATGGGCATTTGACGTGTGTGTAAGCAAGGCACAGAACATTATATGGTGTATCTGCACTTACCTCAAGGTGAACGAGGTTGTTTGCAGCTGTTTAGGGCTGCTGCCAATGAAGGCAAAGAGAGATGGGGTGAGTTGTTCGATCTTTTCTAGGGTTTTCTCTCTATTATTGTAGGGTCTTTACCTTACAAGTGACTTGAAGTAACTGCTGTTGTGGTTTGATGGTATATAAATAAAATTCAGTTGAACTGAATTAAATCCTAATGCATATGTGGTTGGGTGAGGTCTCTGTCTGGAAATTTATAATGGGCCTCAATTTTACCTTGTGGGTTTGTAAGAGTGATTTTATTATGTGTTTGCATACATTGTAGGTTTTGCAGTGATATGTACATTTGATGTATTTGCAATCATTTTAAGGTTGGCGTGTGCATTTTTAGGCTACAGAATTAAATAGGAATCCATCTGATGACCCAATTTTAAAGTTCAAAAGTCATGAAATAAAGCTTGTCATTTTAACCTGTTTCTTTGACTGTTTTGTTTTTAGGTCTCTTGACAGATCACTAAATATTTCACTATTGACACCAGCAGTGCCGTCTTCACTTCCTACAGTTGGCAGATAGCTTTGCACAGGATGGCTGCAGATTGATGGGCAGAAAGGCCCTCCCCTCATTAGCAGCTGAAGATGTAAACAGTAGCACCACAACCCTGGCAAAGGAAATGTAAGACAGACACCCTGGTCTTTAGGAATATTTTTGTGAGGTAAGTAAAGCTCCTGTTCCAGCAAGATTTTTTTTTTTTAAAACAGTAATGAATATTAACCTGGCTGGAACACATGCTAACATTAGCTTTTTAACAATTAGCAATAGCCATTTCTGTAAGGTAGAGGTTATGGCTAATAATAAAATGATCATGTTAATGTTGGAGCTAGGCAGCAAACATAAGTTCTGCCTGTCTGTAATGTTAATGGACAGTGTAAATTTGACAGGAAAAGAACGTGATCTTGTTTTTTTGTTTTTATGTTTTTAACCACATGGCAGCACGGTGGCACGGTGGTTAGCACTGTTGCCGCACAGCAAGAAGGTCCTGAGTTCAATTCCACCATCAGGCCGGGGTCTTTCTGTGTGGAGTTTGCATGTTCTCCCCGCGTTTGCGTGGGTTCCCTCCGGGTACTCCGGCTTCCTCTCGCCGTCCAAAGACATGCAACTTGTGGGGATAGGTTAATTGATTAATCCAAATTGCCACTAGGTGTGAATGTGCGAGTGAATGTGAGTGTGAATGGTTGTCTGTCCCTGTGTGTTAGCCCTGCGACAGACTGGCGACCTGTCCAGGGTGTACCCTGCCTCTCGCCCTATGACAGCTGGGATAGGCTCCAGTGCCCCCCGCGACCCTGAAAAGGATAAGCGAATGGATGGATGGTATTGAGTAGTACTTTCCTGGGTGCTGGTAGCGAGTTTATAGTTTAAAGGAGAAGATGGGACAAGTTTCATGCCTGCTAAATTATCTGTTGAGATATTTCACTCAAAAACATTCATATCAACCTGACAGCAAAAAGTTAGGGGATCGCCACAGTGGTTAAGCTTTATCCTCTAGTGTATTTCTGTGTAATAAAAGTTGAGCTATTTCACTGACAAGTGATAAATTTGATCTAGTGGCGGCACAAGATTTAAAGCATCACCAAAAATAGGATTTATTAATAATCAGGATCTATTCTCTGGCCACTGCGCTATGCTATGCCCAAGCTCATAGCAAACCATCCAATACTTTTGAAGCTATCGCTGTTTGGATCAACGTGGCTGAGACCGCTATCCACAGCTTCACGCCGCTAAACTTTATTGGTTTTTGCAAAGGGGAAACAACAACTGGACAGAAATTAAATCTGGGAAAATTCAAGGTCGTGGCCGCTATGTTTATTCAACATCAGCCATTTTTCAGATCATTACTATTATATAAACTGGTTGGTAAAATGATCAATGTGCACTCTAAGATGGGGAAAGCCAGTGCGGTAAGCTCTGGCATCCTGCAGATGTTGTGAAAACTGAGAGAAATATCATAAATGTCCTCCCCCGCACGTCACGATACTAGTGACAACATGTGACCCGACACGCAAGGAGGAAATGGAGTGATCGACCCGAGCTGCGAGGGCAAGCTGGGGCATTGTGGCTTTGCGCTGGGTGTTGAGACCTAGCAACTCTGGTCTGTGGTGTGGTAGATGGGAATAAAGAGGCCAGACAGAGGGAGGGGAGGCCGGGCAGCAGGGAAGGAGGCGGAGCTGGCGAAATACAAGAGACAAGATACTACAGAGTGTATAAGAGAAAAAAAGAGAGTGGAGCACAACAAAAGCAAAGGCACCCCCTCAGAGTCACACTGCCTGACCTCAACAGTCTCTCCAGCATGCCCACAAACGCAAGAATCCTCACACAGGAAGTTCCACACAGGCTCCTCTTTGTGTCGAGATGGAGTCATGCTACAGTGTGGGCAGAGCTCTGGTCTTTAGACTTTTTCTCTCATACCCAGAGCTACAGCTAACCTTCAACATGGATTTGGGACAGTGACACACATACAAACTCTCATTTCGCCTCCACACTCACACACCCACCCCAACAACAACAATTCTGAGAAAAATGTGGGTGCTATCGTTTGCATTGTAATGCCTTGATATGTATTCTAGCCTGTTTAATATGAATAAATGCGGTTTGAAAATGAACTTGAAAGAAAAATCAACAAGGAGCTAAAGGGAGGCTCTCTGGGAAAGTTTAGTGCCTTTCTGTTCCTGTCGGCACGACTTCAAAAGAGCAAGAGAGTGAAAGAGGAGAGTCAGAGAAAGGAAGAAGCATGAAGAGAGGAAGAGGCTGGATATAGATAGCAAGCAGAGAAAAGATAGATAAACAGAGAGAGAGAGAGATTGTGCATAAATTATTTTCAGCAGGGGTCTAGAGGTTGGAGATTCTGTATATAGCAACTACAGAAGAAATCAGACGGATTAAATAACCTTATAATTATCACAAGCTATGTGGATAAAACGGTAAGAATTGTGTGGGAACCGAGGTGGCCTAATCTTGTAAGGAATGATGCAAACTCTAAATAGCTGGAGAGAGTCCCATGAAAAAGGAGGGAGGGATGGTGGTAAATAAGAACGTCTACCCGCCGTTGCTACCACCTCTCTCTGAGAGAAAAAAAAAGGATTTAACCCCCCCACCGCCAGCCAGTCTGCTCGCCCCCACACAAAGCTGAAAAATGCTCCTCGTGATACAACATGTAGAGCAGACCAACAGTGCCCTCCCTGGCCCCAGAGCTTCCAAAACAACACAGCTTCGCCACAGGAGCTGCAACAAAACAGCACATCTGGATGTCAGATTACAGCGATAAGCCTGGCAAAAGGGCAAGGATAGCAGAGAGAATGATTCATTTGGTTTAAAAGGCTACCAGGACAGATTCTCAGCACTTGCCCCAACTCTGAATGACTCCTGGAAAAAAACTTCAAAAGGATAACCAGCAACAGCCTCCATAAAATACAGGCAACAACCTCTAAGCCGTCCAAGATAAGGTAGAACACAGATTATGTTGGTTATCTTTTAATGCAGCTGCACTCAAAAGTAATGCAGCGATATGGCCAAAAGGTCTCTGAGCTGTTTAAAATGTTGCTGCAAAGGATGACAAACCTTCTCTTGGTGTTTAAAGACAATGCTTATTGATATACAATGCCATATTTATACACACTACAGCTTTTTTGTATAGTCTGCACAAATACACATGCACATTCATCTAAATGCTACTTTAACAATTTTGCTTTGTAGAAAAAGAGCATTTTTCAGTTAATCTTTTTCCAAAAGCTTTTAAACATGGAAGTTAAAACATAAAAACTTCAAATAAAAAAATCTAACAAGTCAGCATGGGAGGCTCCGATGAACCATCAACTTTCATGTGCCACAGTGGAAGTCAGATTGTTTGTTCTGGGATTACTTTAATATCTTTGTACCTCACCTAACATATACAAAACCAGTGAGATGCAATCCCATAAGGCAATTTTCCACTCATCTGTCACAAAATAATAGTGTCTCAACTTGAAATCTGTGGTAGCTTGAAATGCTTGAATCCCTCACAGCACTCATATTATAAAAAATGAATTATTCTTTCCACTGGAACTTTTTTTGTTTTGATGACACATCTAAGTATACAAAGTCCTCAAACTGGCACCAAGAAACAACAAGAGTATTTAACTGTCAGAGGATGAAAAACCTCCTGCAGAGATGTTCGTGAATGCAGTGCACAAATTCCACTCCTCATCGTGCACCCACCCTGCTCCCACAGGGCAAGCATGCCCTGTTTGTGTAGGCTCACCACATCTTCTCTGCAACAAAGTCAACAAACATGCATGGGCACATGTCTAAAATAGGGGACAGTTCTTATCCCCAAACAAGAGTTTCTGGATCCACCCATATCAAAGGACTGAGACAAGTGGTTAACTGAACACACTTCATGTAAATCTTTTAAAGCAGTTTAAGATGGGCTGGAATGAGGACCTGTAAGAGATCATAGTCGTGCATTCGGCCTAGGTGTAGAGGAGGTCAGTAGACACTGGACGCTTGGGAACGGACTGCTGTTAGCTGTTGTGAGCTCTGAAGAACAGAGGCGTGCTGAGGTCACGAGTAAACACACAAGCTTGTCCAGAGCTCAAAAGAGGAGGGGAGGGGGGGAGACTGGAAACACATCTGTTCTGCCTTTGATCCAAACTTCTGCAGCCCAGCACGCCACTCACCTCAGCTGCCCACTCTGTGCCTGACTAAAAAACAACGGCCGCAATTATAAACACTAGATCTTCCTTCCCATGCTGCCCTCTTCGGTGTTGGTGCTGACTCACAATAGGAGCAAGCTTTTATGAAGGGAAGGGACGTTAATCTTCAAATCCTCTGCGTATGCCTTTTTTCCATTATCACATGAAAACAAAGCAGCATCAATTGCCCAACCTCTGCATAGCAACAGTGGATTCTAGGTGCCTAACAAACAGAGTCAATTAGGCTGATAGGATTTCAGCATTTATCCCAGACATGGCACTCAGTATGTCTGAAGCAAAACATTTGCCGGATGCTTGAACACTCTCTGCCCCAGTAACATTTGAATCAAGCATTTCAAACTGGACAATCATGGTTGTTTCTGCAGCAAATGACCATCTGAAACCAAAACAGCTGGAGTTGGCCTTTTTTTCCCCCCTTAAGTTTGCTCTTTCCCATAGTTTGCATATTACACTGCTAATCCCTTCCTGGGAAGGTTGTTTGATAGAAATAGAATCTCACCTTTTTATATAGCATGCCTTTTCTCTCATCGTGTGTAGCTGTTTAGAAGGAAAATGCTTCTGCTTCCTGACCAAAATGTCAGTTGAAAATATGACTAATATAGAGTGAACAAACTGTATAAAATTAAAATAGAGTACACTCAATGCGGGAGTGAGAAGCTGCCTTTCAGTGATGTCACCTTAGCTCCCTCATAACATAACCCCCTGACCTTGTGAAAACTGCTTATTGATGAGTCTACATTTCCACTGCGGCTGAAGATTTTTGCACAACTAGTCACACAAACTGAATCCTAACAACAAACCTGAAACCTCCCTAAACACGGACAAATGTGGCATTTTTTTTTGAGACTGCCCGTCTTGTGCTGTCAAGAATTGGGGGATAAAAGACCCCTTTTTAAACATGATATCAATTCTGACACAGAACTCCAAACACCCCATTATTTATAGACAGCAACATTATACCTTACATCAGTTGTGACTCACAGTCTAAACCTTTTTTTTCCTTTCCGATTTCTGACTTCCTTGGCAGCATTAAAACTGCAAAAACTCCCTTTCTGACAAATAAGAACAGAGTGAGAGATGTAAACAAATTATTGTTTTTGTCATGTGAAAAACTTCAGCCTCTCTGTCTGGTATCTTTCCCTTACAAAGCGGGCTCGAGGTTGAGCTAGTGAGAGCTTCACCACAAGACTCCCACCCTCCAATTCCCTCAGCTTGTACTGTATGAGCCCAGAGAACCACATCCTGAGGAGAGGAACGCAATCGACAACAGTGCCTCCTTGAACTGGAAAATTGGTTACACAATCTGAACTTTTCACTGACGACTATGTTGCTCCACTAAAAATATTACAATCGCTGCTTTCATTGGAAGCCAAACTGTGGAGAGTGCAGAGACATTTCAAAGGGAAACAATAGCAAAAACCCTGTAGAAAAACATCAGGCCACTGATCATGGGATGTGATGGGAGAGATGTCTGTCCTTGATGTGAGTGCCAAGGTGAGAGGCTCCACAGGCTTTTCCCAGAATACTCTGGGGAGTTTGAGATCAAATGAACACTGACCAAAGGACAACTGATTATAATACAGGCGGACAAAAAAAGAACTACAGCAGTAGGTCTTATGGCACTGACAAGAGTTGAACTTGGTCTACACAGCACAGACTACAGGGAAATACTCACTGAACCCAACTTTATTTGAGTCCAATTAATCAAGGCACGCGGCATTCAACTGCAGACAGTAAAGTTAACCGAATTCTCTCTTAAAGACCCAAACAATGCACATGCAACCGCAGGACAGAGGGTTTTGTTGTGGTTCTCTTGAGCATGCAAACCCCAAAATCTCATGCTTGAAACTGACAGAGAGAACTAAAGTTCTGCAGGTAAGTAATTAAAAATGTGGGAGCAGGAGCTTTTCAAAAAAGCGTGACTTGGCACCGCTTCACCCAGCCTCCCACGATCATTGGTTTTCCTCTCACTAGGTCTCCTTAAAGCCCATGTAGGTTCAGAGTCCACCCCTTATAAAGAGGATAAGCATATATAAGCGAGAGTGCAATTTGGCAGCACATCCCTATAATAACACACAGACACATGGACGACTTTTTGCCAGGCGACTGGAAGAGGAAATAGAGGAGTATAAACAGCACTCACCGCGGGCAGGCTCGGGTTTCTATGGTGCGCTGAGGCATCTTCTGGACGGCTCACACACACAACATATCGTTCGGGAAACACACGCAAATCTGAGAGGAGGCAGAGAAACAACACAGACCCTGCTGGTTAATAACGTGGGCTCACCTCTAATTATCAGTCAAACTCAGACAGAGGGAATTGTGGTCAATGTTTAATTTTTACATCTACCAGTACCAAGTATTTACTATCCCTCAGACCGGGGAGAAAATAGCAGTTTATATATAATTGCTGAATTTTATGAGCTGCATAAACAGCATGAAATATTAGGAAATTTTACATTAACAATGGCTCTTGGGAGTAATAATACTGTCTCACTGACTTCAGAAGGAAAGATCATTTAAGCCGCTTTTCCAAACAATGTCAAGAAACTCAGGTCCAGCTATATTCCAAAGGTCTCTGCCCGGATGACATGTGACACTAATAATAATTAAATTTATAATATCTGCTGTTTTCAGTTGGGTTTGGGTTCTGCTTGATTGCTCAACAAAAAGTTCAGAGCTCATGAAATGTTTCAAGCGAAATTGGAACCTTCAATGAAAATTTCTCAGGACACTTTTAGACAGAGAACTTCTTGGAGTTTGGAAATCTAACTTTTCTTCGAAGGACCCCGATCCCAGTTCAAATTTAAAGCAAACCCAAAAGCCTTCTTGAAATCTAACAAGTAGATTGACAGGGAACTTGCAAATCATATTAAATAAGAGGAATTTAGTCTCAATGACCTCGTAACTATTCCTTTAATGCCAACCCCTGGACAAACTTTACAGTCTTTGTTCCACCAAATGTCAGCTATCCCTTCTTTATTCTTTAAAATGTTGGCATTGTGGAGTGAAATTTAAGTCAGCTAAATCAGAATATTTCACTGCATTCTGACCAACTAATTACCGTAACATAGCTTTAAGAAGACCTACTGTGGTTCAGCCTTGAACTCCTTTTAAGAACGTTTTTTTGTAGCCGTCTCGTCAACCACGATAAAAACTTTTCACCATCCATTTTATAGCTAATTGATTTTTTTTAATGATCTAACCACATATGTACTGCCAACTCAGTGGACCAAATTACACAACCTTTGACCTCAGGAGACCGAGTCTAATTTGATGTGTAATGGACCTGCTGAGAGAAGCCGTCATCTCAGCCAGCAACAGGTCACCGTTGCCTCAACAGCCAAGGCCTGGTCCTCCCCCAAGGAGCAGATATTAACTTTACTGACAGGAAGAGAACCATGTTGGTCCCATGAAAAGGTGGCCAAGGGTCACAGGCATTAGATGAGCCATGGAGATAGATTCTCACTGCCCTCCACAGACAGCTAAGGAATCCTTCTCTCTCTGCCTCTCTCAGTAGCCTCTCAAGGGAACCACTTAATGGCCGCTTGTTCTCAACAACACCCCGATCAGGTAGGGACAGGACATAAAAACAAGTGAGGGGGAGAAACATCAACATGCAGACCACAGATGCCTCACTCATTCTGTGGGAAATTTGGCTGAGTATAAACCCTTGAGAGGTCTATTTCTGAGTTCTAACTGGGGATGGATTTATTGAAAACATGTAGGTCACTTACCCTGCTTGACAATACATCTGAGACTGGAGTGTCGCTTCAGAAAATTGGCCACCAGGTTGAATTTTTCACCTGTATAAACCAAAACAGAGAGACAGTTAACATAAAAGGTTGTATTACCTATTTAACAGTGGGCACATTTTGGTGAGACGGTGCATGCTTTGATACACCGATTACAAACTAAATTCAATTTCCCATCATTACACGAAACAGCTGCAAATGTTATAGTGAGACAAAGTGGTTAAAGAATGGACACACTATGTGAGTATAAAGCCCCTCGTATGAGGAGTTCCACAACTGGCCTTACTGCTGTCACATGCAGTAGAAGAATCACAGTAAAGTTTAAAAAAAAACACACACACAAAAAAAAACACAGGATTAGTGTATTTTGCAGCAATATAGCACACTCCATTAATGCAGATAACAGTGCTGCACATAGCTCCATATGCTTGGACACATACCCATCAATTTTCTACTAACTTTAAGTTTATGCTTGGTCTAAGGCACAGCACGCTAAAACAAGCCAAATTATTTATCGAGTGTGAAATAATTCATTCTCCTTTAATTTCAAAGACCTTCCAGTTTGGCACAAGCACAGAAACCATTTCTGGGGTCTCTGCTCTATTTGTCATGGAATGATTTCATGGTATGTAAGATGTGCTGTGCAGAAACAGCAGCTTGTTGCCTAATCTGGCAGGAATTTGTTGACTAAAAGCAAGGGCCTGGCTAACACGCTATGCAGTTGTTCTTTGCAAACAGACACACAGTGCTGGGAAGCTGACCAAGCCAGTTCATCCTTTGATATCTTCTTCGTACCCTTTTTGTCCTCATAAGAAAGTGAATGTGAAACTTTAACACCACCTTCCTATTATTTCTTATTTGACATTCTCTCCCATGTGTGGACATATAAAAAACCCATTTTCTGCAAACTGTCTGGGTTTGGGTTGTTTTGTTTTTCTCGCTTCAATTAAAGGATTACATGTCTTCCTAAGTTTGAGAAAATCATGACCTCTTGCACTTAAGGCTCTTTCAGAAGTCCCTGGATAATCTCAAATGTGCACTGTCATCAGGCTAAAAATGAGGCTGTCTAGATTTCTGAAAAGCTGCTGTTTTGGAAGTCTTTTTAAATCTGCCAGTAGTGACACTAACGGTCACCCATCAAGAAAACTTGGAACAACTTGGACAAGTCTACTTCAAATAATAAACTACAACTAGTTTCATGCCCATGTCTGTGAAGCCTGTTGCTGCATTATTTCATGACAAACCCTTTACAAAATTTAAGAAAGTAGGTGTATCACTGTTAAAGTCCACGATCAAGCAATGGCTTTATGAGTGAAACTACAGAGCATTTACAACAAGGTGCAAGCCACCCATTACACTCAAGAACAACAGGTCCAGACTAAAAGACAGTTAATGCAATACCTTTGTTAAATCCCCTGAATTAAATCTGAAAGTCTCCACTTCAATCACATCTTAATTGTTTAAATTAGAATCCAATCTGGTGGTGAACAGAGGCAAAACTACAAAAACAGTGTCAACACTTCAAGATATTATTGTATATTCTTAAGTTTACTACCCAGTGATTGATAGCATCATGTCTGGTTTCTTTCTGTTGGTGCCTGCGGTATAATTAGCAACTAGAGTCAGCACATCAAGAATAATATTCATCATTAGAAAAGACAATACCAACATAGATTATGAAACACAAATCAAATCAGTCTGACATGATAAATATAGACTAAAATCCATCAATCGTGAACTTCATCACAGAGCCTTTGAAACTGGATGTGTGTTACTATGAGTTACTGTGATACTAAGCAATTACAATCAGTATTTTAATGACAATCAGGGGAAATTGTTACCCATAGGCTACAATCTTTTCAATTTCACCTTCAGGAATGCTTTTTACCATCAAATGTATTAGTATAAATTGAGCCTTACCAAATTTTGTTTTGGAAAATGTTTAGCATCGTAACTATGATTTGTGAACATTCAACAGAATCTCTCTGCAAGAGAACAAAACCCAAATATCTAACGGGCACAACTGCAGGGTGACTTTTAGTAGTGACATTTGTGAGATCTGTAAAGAGCTATTTCTTCACTCAAACTGCATATTGGTTAAACATTTTCTTACACATTACATCACATTATTTGTTTTCAAAAGTTACATAATATTAATTGTGTGAAACTAAAATGTTTCTTTGGGGTGATGAAAGAAGCTCAGCTTACCATATCCTTTATTTCTGTACAAAACGCTTGCTCCTCAGGCCAAATGATTTTTTACACAAGCCATCAGTGGATGACTAATGTCTTGGGACCAACCCAGTTGTCTTTTTGTCAGTGAATAGAATCTGTACAGCTCTATTTAGGTTGCGCAGGCTGGCATTAACCTCTGCTTCTTTGCAGCAAAAAGCTCCTTCCAAAAAGACCCATAAGACCATGTTTATTTATAAAAAAAAGAATTGTACTAATTGTTTTATCAGCCGAGAGCTTGCAGTTCTGGAAATGCGGCACACTCAGCATGTATAATAATGATTTGTTTTACTGGCTATGTGCCCCCATCACAGTAGGTCTGCAAGAAAACAGTGATTATAATGTTCAATTGCCAACATCGAGCTATACAGGATTACATCCACGTATCCATAATGACAAGCAGATAATTTGGTAGCAAAGCCTTTACAGTTAATGATGCCTAAAATGTATTAGCCACACAAATTAGCATGGTACAGTTACCATGCTAACACACTTTTTTGTGTGTTGGAGCCCTGACTTCAGGAGATGAGGCTTGAGGTGAGGAGACATAATGAGAAAGAGATGATGAAAATATGCATGTATAAATGTTAAATGGGCATAAATAGTTTGAAAGAATTTTTTTCCCCTATCAAATAACCTAAGAAAATTATTTACTATTCCTTTAACGTGGCTTGCTGTACTTTAAGCTCTAGCCGTCTTTTTGGTTTAGATACAATGCGCATGAGTACAGAGCCGAAATAAATTTTTTTAAAAAGTCACTGTCCTTCCTACTGACTACACTATACTTGGTGCACATCTCTTTGAAGGAGGACCTCCGTGCTGGTGTTAGCTTTAATGTAGGAGTACATATGGTACTGATAGTACTCTCACTAAATTGTCTTTAGAGTTTCCAGCCTTATAAGACTGTTCCTTTAGAGTCTGGTGCACATAAGGTATGTAATGTAATAATAACAGATAAGTCAACAGTCTTTAAATAGATTGCCATTAATCCCAATGGGAAATTGCATTAACACACAGATTGGGTATGTTGAGCATGTCTGTATTTAACAGCAGAATATCTTTATCAGGAACAAAATCTAATATTGTGTTTTTCCCTAAATAGCAAAGGAGCAAATCATTTATCACCCACTGTGGAATGCTGATCTGTATCTCCGTTTTGTTTTCTCTGACTGCTCTTAGTCCATGAGGAACCAGGAAGCAAGCATCTTTCTTTGCACTTTCATGACTCTTTGTTTTTGGAGGCTCTGATTTAGCCCTCTTAGCCGCTTGTCTAGCTGTACAACTGTTCTCACTGCTTTCCCTTGGTGAGTTGAGCTTGCCAATTCCCAGGACAAACTTGACAGGGATGTCTGGACATGGAGTTGGGAACCAGTGCAACGCCGCGGCCCGAGACATCAGCTGTTGCTCCAATGTTGAAACGTCCTGCACAGCGCAGAGTTGCTCTTGGCCCTCTGCCCAGGTTCTCTCGTGCTAAGCTTACATTCATGTTTCTCTCTCACAAACAGTTTGCTGGTCCCTCCTCTGGGAATAAGTGGCCCCTTTTTGCGGCAACTGTGGCCCACAGTGGTGCAATACTCAAATCTGCAGAGCAGAGACTTTAAAAGGTTTCATTTGTACTTCCTTAAAAAGAAGATGGCCTTGCTTAATTGTTTTGAAATCCAATGCACAACAATATTATGACAGGTCAAATCAAACAATAAAAAAAGCTAGTATGCCATGTTTTTAGAAATGTGGTAGATAATATTTTAACCTCTTGTTTGGAGAGACTTCTGCCATCTTGTAACATACCGCAGAACAACTGCAGAAGAAAGACCAATGCTAGAGTGCTATGCTTTCGAAACACACATACACACACAGTGCAGTTTTCACCACTTCCTGGGAAAACAATGAGAGGAAAGAAAAGTCAACAAACCAGAAGGCGCCCAGAGTGAGTAGGACAGTAAAATGGACCAGACAGGAGTGAGAGGCATTCAGACCAGGGTCAAAGGTAAGCACCCATGGAAAAGACTTCATTAACTTCAGTCATATCCTGAGGAGATCATTAAAACACCCATAGAAAACACAGCATACTTGGTCTTACCATCGGCATTTCTAGCAGCCTGTCCTGTGGTGACGAGGAAAACTTTTTTTTTTTCTCTCTGTGTTTACAGACTCTTAAGTTACTTGATTATCCAAAACTTGGATGCATCCTTGAAACCAATTTCCACAGTTTAACAAAGATTTTATGTCAAATTCAGGCTCTTGGGGGGGGGGAAAGAGCTGCTTAGTCAGTCAGTTTAACTGTTTCAACTCAAAATGAACAGAATTCTACAGGCCACAGTATTATATGTTTAAATTATGCCTGCACTGCCTCAAAAACAAAAATCTGATTACTGCAGTGGTTGCAAAGGCACCGATTTCCTCCTCTAACCTAATTTCTCTCATTAACATATTCTTAGTGTGCATGTAAAACTAATGACTGCATGTTGGGAGAACTGTAATTCCCACGAAACCTCTTTACGAACAGGAGTTGAACCAGCAGGACACTCAGACACCAGTGCCTGAGAATCCTGATCTCCTGACATCTCTTCTTTGATGTAGACCCCCTCCCTCTGTCCTCAAGTGTGGGTGGAGAGTCGAGGCTTAGTGAGCGAGAGTGGGGTGGAGTTGTGAGGGATGAGAGCGCATGAGGAAGTTACCCATATGTAAGTGGGGGCTTTCCTGGACATCACTCTGTGTGTGTAACTGTAACTACGGCCGTAGCAGAGAACTGTGCCTTATCATCCCGCACAACTTCCACCTGAAACAATATTTGCACATGAGTGTTCAATTTAACATTT